AGTTTAAGACTGTCCGCATTAATGGAATGTCATACTAATATTTACAATAAGATAATTTGGATGATTATGTTGTTAATTAGATTAACAAGTTCAACTTTCATTACTAAACACTTATTACCATGACCTCTTATTTTCTTTAAATTCTTAAATGTTGAGAGAACTGTCTGTAGTTTAAAGACTGTCCGCATTAATGGAGTCATACTAATATTCAATACAATAAATAATTTGGTTAACATGACAGTTATGTTCAACAAGATAGTGATTAGTTTATATTTGGCATCTCATGATGCAAAATGCATTAATGATTCAATACTTAATCTATACAAGATTATTAACTGATAGGTAAATTGAACCACAATTTAATTCATGATTTTCGGTGGTTTATAAAAATATATCAGTGAAATAAAAACTGATAATTTCACTGTTTTAAACTGTGAAATTATCAATTTCATAATTTCACTGCTTTGAATTTTTGAGCCCGTTACAGTGTTTCAGTGGAATACAAATGTTCACAGTACTGGAACCAACTTAATGACGTGACGTCGTAAATGACGTCACATTGTATTATTATTTGGCGCCCTTTCCATTTAGTACTAGGTTAAATGTCTTTTAAACGTTTTTTTGCATATAATCAAAAGAAAATTTGTTTAGTTTATGTAAGATCGAAATATATTTCACCTTGTGAACACCAAAAGTTCATATTTCACTAGTGGTTGCCCTACTCGTGAAATACCTTTTGGTGCTCACTCGGTGAAATATATTCCGATCTTACATTGAACTAAACAAATATCCTCTATATCTTCAAATATATAGGTATTCAGAAACACCCAAAAAGTACTAAATATTATAGTCTTACATTGATGCTATAAGTGCAAGAACTTACTAAGAACAGCAGTGATTGATGGGTGAGCATCTGTAATGACCTCTTTCACTAAGATGTGTTCATCTAAGAAAAACTGAAGTGTTCGTAGAAATCCTTCTTTTTCCATCCAAACACTGGACTTCCCAGTTTCTCTTTTATCAACAGTCACAACAGACAGTATCTCCTTGGTGCTGTTCTCCATAGCGGTGTACGTACAATATTGGGCACAATGCCCCGGGGAATCCATCCTACCATCACCTGTTAAAACACCGATAGGAGGAAAAATCAGGTCAATCCTATTAAGTGGTATATATCAATCAAGAAATTATATAATTGCTAAAAAACAATATGGTTAAAAGATATATAACACTAATGCATTTCTCAGTGATAGTCACAAGCAGAAATGTGAATGAATGACCTAAAATTCTAAAAATTAAATGATTAAAAAAGTTACCTGATATCACCACTTCACCAGAAGAATCTTTGATAGTCTGGATTCTGTGGGCTAGGTGTTCTTTCCACTTCTCCTCAATAGCTGGTACTAAATAAGATCTCTGTATCTTCAAGAAGGAGGCTTGACTTACTATTGGCAACTTCATAAATTTAGTCATGAGCTGCACTTTCTGGTAATTGTTCCCAGAGAATAAAATAGCAGCAGATGTCAAGAGGTCTCCAGCATGTAGACCTCTTCTAAACACTGGCTGGGAGCACCATGTACCATTGTTATGACCTTTTTCACATACCTTGCAAAAGAAAAAAAAAAATTGTTTACTACATTATCAGTATTCAGAAAAAACTGACATGCATTATGAAGATATATATAAAATAAATCACACTCACGCATTAATTTATTCAACCGATACTTTCATTAAATTCAAGAATGTGATCACAAGCACAAAATGTACGCACAATTCTTAATAGAGGAATTGTTATAATTGTCAACTACTTAAAATTGTTTTGTCTTTCATAAAACATTTTAAAAAGAGATAAAATATACTAACTGATTAAATAAAAATCTCTAACAGAATACATGTAACAAGCAAATGTTGTATAGAACTGAATACAGATCTGATGAAATGGTACTCTTCTGACAAACAAAAGTGCCATGACGGCCCTGAAATCGCTCACCTGTATATAGGCCCCCGGGATGGTGCCAATTTTAACCCAGGGGCTTTTATTTGAACATACTTGGTAGTCACTCACAAGAAGATAGTTCATTTTTAATATCTAAGCTCTTGCTATTTGGGTTTTTTTTTAAAAAAAAAAGAGATGTTTTAAGTTTTTACTATATACATTATGTCATATAAGAAAATCAATGATCCCCAGGGTGGGGCCAATTTTTACCCCAGTGCCCTAAATTGAACAAAAATGGTAGACACCCATCAGAAGATGTTTCATGCTAAATATCTAAGCTCTAGCTCTTAGGGTTTTTACTACATACATAAAGGGAAAAACAATGACCCCATGGGGCAGGGCCAATTTGACCCCAGGGCTTTTATTTGAACAAACTTGGTAGTTACAAATAAGAAAAATCAATTACCCCCCCCCCCCCCCCCCGGCAAGGCAATTTTGGACCTGAGGGCATTTATTTGAACAAACTTGGTAGACACTGACTAGATGATGTTTCGTGCAAAATATTTAAGCTCTAAATCGTCCTGTTTTCTAAAAGAAGACGACAAAAAGCGATCACAAAAGCTCACCATGTCACTTTGTGACAGGTGAGCTCTATAATGTTCCTTTTATATTTTGATGATAGACTTTGTATAATGATCAATTATGTCTTGATAGGTTGTAAAATAAATACAAAACATGTAATATTCAGCTTTTGAAAGTAAATTGATACCATAGTTGTGATATCACTTCAAAACATCAATCTTATTTTAGAATTATATATAGGACTTCCATAACAGGTGGTAACAGTTGTTACTGAACTTCAAACCACCTGTCCCTAAGTACTGTAGGTTCAAATCCCACCAAAGACTTGAATTATCTCAGGTGAAGTGACAATCAAGTCATCTGACAAAACATTGATGAATCTATTTGTGCCTTGAATAATGCCAAATCAAGCACTAGAGTTCTTCAATTATCAGTAAATCACAAATGTTGCCATATGACATTTAGGAGATTTGGTGCAACAGAAAATCAAATTATAAAAATTACCAAGATAGTACACACCCAATCAAAGTACAATGCAGAACCAACTGACTTGTCTTTAAGGTTTACAAGGCCTGCACAACCTTCCTCTCGACATTTCGATGCTGGTCTAATATGTGCCAGATCAATCAACGATTCTTTGTAGCATAGGTGGACAGTGCTGTCTACAGCCTTTGTTGCCATTTCCATTGTGTCAAGGCGTTTCCTTCCTTCAATGGGAGCCTGATCTTCATCACTAGAATCATTTTCGTCTGATTCTCCCTCCTCAATTGACCCATAAACTTCATCCGCAAAGGACTGTTCATCAATTGCACCTAATGCATCATTTGCCCTAATGTAAAAGATAGACACAAATCATTTTTTATCAAACATTAACATGCAAAATAGTATGTTGTAAGTATCTAGATTAAACTTTATAAAAGAATAATGTATTCTAATGCTTTACAAATATATGTAAATAACGCTTCTCAACAACTTTAAAATACTCAGTTGATTAATATGGCAAGACTAGGTTTATATCATAAAATACCTTTCATTTTGTAAATGAAAAGAAATCAAATAAATACCCAAATGTTACATCAAAGCTGGGCTCGTAGTCCTCATCTGAGTCAGATTCAAGATCACTACTTGAAGAAACATCCCGGATGACTTCAATACTTACTCTGAAAAACAATTCATAGATAATAAAGGTTTATGCAAATAGTGGTTTGAAAATGAAATAAAATATGTTAAACTGTACCATCCAAAATTGTGAAGTTTGTTCAAAACTCATCAGTGCTAAAGAAATAACTATATTATACAGTTACAGTCTATTGAAAGAAAGCAAAATGACCAGGTAAACTAAGAGCAATAAGAATAAACTGAGAAATTGGTGTTATAAACAAAAAATACTAACCTGGCATAGTTTACTTATATATATATCCCTTTTTATGTATATAAAAATAAATCAATGTCATTTTTATGTAAGCCACTTTTTTAGCTACTTTCCATTAGAATCATATACAATTTATAACATCTACTGTAATGTGCAAACTACTGTCCACTCCCCCTAGCACCGGCTAAAGCAGAAGTCAACATTTAAAGCAGCACGCCTCCAGATTCATCCTTATTTTCATGAAAATTTTGAAAATGTATTTAAAGGTAAAATATTGTGAAATGAACAAAGAAAGTACTTGACACATTACAATCGGCACTTAAAAATTACCAAAAAGAGGTCAAAATATGCATAAATAGTACCTACTGGTTAGTTACGCTAGAAATTGGGGAATACAGTCTTTAAATTTGCACATAGAAAAAATTACATTTAAACTTTAATTTTTTTTTTTCAAAAAGTTTTAGAAATTTTTTCCCCAAGTTTAAATTTCTTAAAATATTTGGGTCATCTAGGCTTTAAGTTTTAAATAAGGGTAAAATTTTAAAGTTTATATCAAATTATAAAGGGGAAAGAAGTAAAACATAAATAAAAACATTTCCTGTCTAAAGAAAATACATCAGCCTCTTTCAACTTTCTTTTACATTACTTTAAATTATTTATATTTGAACTTTTAAACAATTTAATAATACCACCAAAGATCAACAAAATTTTTGCTGAACCTGGGGGTTTTTGTGACTATTTTGCGCCACCTTTTTTTGCTTTTTCAATCTGAACACAAAGAAATTAAACCCTACAGCCCCCAAACTAAAAAAATAACATTACTTTGAGTGAGTTTTACTGTACCTCCTATGGCATTTATAAAATTTGACATGGCAATAATAACAAATTTAGTTCATTAACTTCTACATTATACAGACATGTTCTGCCAATCATATATATAAGAAAAACAGGTTCAACTTTTATTTTCATTGTTATTACCAACAAACGATGTAAATATTAGTAGCAGTCTATATATTCAATAATAGCATTATTTGTAAATTTCTTTCATGGTACCAAAATATCATAATGAATTATATTTACCTTGAACGCACATCATCTAGGTCACTGGAGCTTAGTGGATCAATTCCTGATGGTAATGATTTCCTTATTAAAAAAAAAATATTAAGAGATAATGTTTGATGACAATTAATGGGAACAGTCAGACAGACAGTACATGTATCAAACATAAATTTTTAGAATTTTTACACAATATGATTTATTTTTCTTGAGCACATTTTTAGAGCAATTAGCAATTAAAATTTGAATATTGATTAACAGACTCTATACTATAATCTGTAGAGAAAAATAATCCGAAATATTGTCAGTATTTATTTAAATAAGTAGAATTAACTTATAAACTTACATTGAGTCTGATCCTGATGATTCACTAGCACATTCCTTAGTGGTTTGGGGTTGTCTGTATGGAGTAGACACCAGTGAGGGACCTGCATCTCTTTGTTGTGTAGATAATCCTTGATCCATTTGTGCTGATGGTATTGGATCCACTTGATGTGCTGATGGTATTGGATCCACTTGATGTGCTGATGGTATTGGATCCACTTGATGTGCTGATGGTATTGGATCCACTTGATGTGCTGATGGTATTGGATCCACTTGATGTGCTGATGGTACTGGGTCTAACTGTTGTGCTGAAGGCCCTGGCATGTCTTGTTGAGTGGGCACTACATATTTCATGTATCTGCAAATGCACACATAATCCCCTTATAAAATTATATTAAAAAACAGGGGGTTTAAAAAGGAAAAATTTACCAAAATTTAATATGATTCATTAGTTGATATTTAATGTCTTTTTTATAATTTGCATTTTTTATACATATTAATATTCTTGGGTTTAAACCCCGGGAGGGTTTTAAAGATGTTTTTTGAGCAAAGAATTTAAAAATTAAATTTCTTAGTACCAATTGGGGCCAAAACAGGTCTTTCCCTTTAATTTTTTAAAATTTTTGGGAAATAGAAAAATGCAAAAACCCGGGAACCAAAAGATATAGAAGAAGAAAAACTTTTTTAATGGGAATCATCGCCAAAAACAAAGGGGTAAATGATTCCCAAAACTTTCCATTATGGGAAACCCTGCAAATAACAGTTTAAGATGTTTAAAGCTTATAGCTTCTAAAACAATAAAACTAAAATAAATTCTGTAAAATATCTGTCTCAATAAACTTGTTTCAAGTTTTCTTGTATTAACCTGGTTAATGTACTTTCATGATTGTTTACACATAGGTATATTTACAGGATTTTTTAAAGAAAGCTTAGCTTGACTTCTATCACCTACTGTAGTGTTTACTAAATAACTGATAATAAAGACTGAATATACACATTATGAAAGTCACATAAAAGACCACTTATATTTAGAAAAAATTCTTAGTTACTTATTAATTTTCTTTAAGCCTGTTGGCCTATAGTTCCACAGCAACTTTATATAATTTAACTGACTTATTTTTGGGGCGAGTTGACCTCAATGATCCAGTGATTTTTCTCAATTATTTGGAATGAGGCCTTAGCCTCTTGATTTTGGGAAAAAATATTGCTATAACTGATAATTTGGGAAGTACAAAAGCAGGTATAAGCCCAGAATTTTGGGAAAACTTCATGATTTAAAAATAAAATTAATTGGGAAGAGGCCTTTTACCAGTTTTTTCATTGTCTATTATATCACAGGAACCTGAAATTGGAAAAGAGTCAACTCGGCCCTATACCAACTCGGCATGGGTCAACTCGGCCCACTTTACAAAAATATATAGGCCTTTAACGCATTTACTTTGCCTCGGCCCACTTTACAAAAATATATAGGCCTATAACGTATTTACTTTGCTTTGCATGTTGTTAAGGTAAATGAATAATAAGAAATATCTTATTATGATATATAATTATACATTGACCCTCTGCTGAAATAAAGTATATTTAGAAAAAAAAAGTTATTTATTTGTCTTGCAGATTCGATAAAATTAATATAGACATAGGCACGATTATCGAACCTGGGAAGAAAAAATATGAACAGATTGATAAAACAACTTCATATTTTTTCTTCTTGTGCCATACTTGTGCCTGTGAATATAGATATAATGAAAATGTGTTCCTTAGATGCATTTTGTTTGTAAAGTAATTTTCAAAAAAATATGAAACAAAAACGTGTTTACTTAATAGCATAAGCTTTTAATTAAATGCAGGTGGTAACTTATCAAATTTGAATGAATGAGTCAATCATAATTATCACCTAATTAATCGGTATCTTTAACATATACATTGATTGATAATAATAGCCCGTGACAATAGGAGTCCTTTGATGTCCTATACCCATTTTTAAAAGTGGTCCGAGTTGACCCGTGCCGAGTCGGAATAGGGCCGAGCTGCCCCGGATTCCCTGAAATTTTATCCCAAAAAAAAATAACGATTAAAAAAAAACCATATATATATAATCTATATAGTACATTACTTTTGTGTAAAAAACCACATACAGACACTAAAACACAGACATATTTACTTATTACACTTGTGCAAATATTTTTATAGAACGTTTCTTGTTCAACTTATCTTTCCTAAGTATCCAACACATTGTGCTTAACTCACACCAAAATTCCCCCCTCGTGGGCCTCTTTATGTAATACACGATAAAAATAAACCGTTTATTTACATCGTATAATATTTCCAATCATGATGAAGCTTGTAAACGATAACAAATGACAATGCACATTGAATAACACCAGAAATTGCACATCTATTTAGTAAAGGAACACAGAAATTGTGAAAAATAAAAAACTTACGCATCAATCAATGTTTTGGCAAGTTCAGGATGTGTTTTCAGCCGAAGATCTGCTTTCAAACTCAACCAGCGGTCTATTTCAACTCCTAGATATACAGAGGCTTTACTTTTCTGTACATTGCTGGCCTGTCGTTTTCTCTTTTTAGCAGAATCGGACACTTTAGGTCGCCCAGGTCCAATTTTAATCTTTTTCATGGGAGACGCCATTGTTGTTTGTAAGATAGCGCGCGGCGCATGCGTGACATCATCGGCCAGCTCCGTAAAATTGACTCGGAAACTGGGCGAATAAAATGTTCCGGAACGTTTTATTCAGATATATTGCATAGCAGACAGTTTGTCATAATTATTAATTAACTGAGACAGTTTTTGTTAAAAGATTATCGATGGATACTCATAAGCGTTTTAGAACAACGTGATTTTGCACTTTTTGAAAGTCATTTGTATTTTATGGTCAGATACAGCTTTATACACTTTAACCTAGTATAATGTGCCATTTAGAGAGAAATGTACATTGATTTCATCACCGATATATGAATGATATATTAGCAAATTATAATAATTTATGCGTGTTTTATTTAAAACCAGAACTGTGACAAAGTATAAGCAAATAATTCAATGTTTATTGACATCTGCAGAGTAACAACCTGTAGGATACAAAGACATTGCTTGTTGCTAAGAGATGTTGCTCTTTTGAAGCAAAATCTACTGTTGTCTTGTTAAGTTTCAATTTGGTTTTTGGTACTGCTTATCAAGGCAGAAAGCCTCCAATTGGAAATTTTAGTCATCTTTTAACAACAATAAAGATCAAAATTTGACCTAGCCAAGAGAAATCTTCTTGTTTGCTATAATTGGAAACTGACGACAAAAGATAAAAATAATGGGGATCAAAAACTTATTTTTGATTTCTGCCCCGAAAAAAAAAGTATTTTTTTGTTTTAAAAAACCTTTTCGCCTTTTCATCACAAGAAATTAAGGGCTCAAAAATTTTAATGCCTGATCCCTAAAAAATCCTCAGCCCCAGGGGAAAAAATTTAAACCAAAGTAAAAAAAGGGAATCCAAGAAATTAAATTAAAAAAAATGCCCCTTGCCAACAATTTTATCTTGTCTAATTGCAAAGTAAATTACTTTTCCAAATTTTTTGGGGATTCTTCAAAAGTTTTAAAATGGGGACATAAATTCATTTTAAGTTTTTTCATGGGGCAAACCAACTTTTTCTTTGAAACAAAAAACCAATAAAAAAAAAAGTCCCAGATTATATATCATTATGGGTTAAAAAAAATTACTATAGGAGAAATGATTAATTTTCTGTAAATTTGAAATTTTGCTATTAACAAAAATTTTTCACAAAATCTAGTTCATCCCCAAAAAATGAACAAAAAAATTTTTCCCAGGGCCCAAACCTTGTTAACCTATCCCCTTTTGATATCCCCCCAGGTTTTTTTAATATTAAAAACAGACTGGGGAACCCTATCATTTGGTTTAAATGCGTTTAAATTGGGGGGTACTTTTTAGTCGTAGTTAAAAAAATCCCTTTTACCCCTTGCAAAAACACATTTTTGGGAACATCATCTTCCCAATAAAAATTTAAAACCTTTCCTCGTTCATTCATCTTTTTTACTTAAAAAATTTCTTCAATTATTTGCTAAAGCTAAGTAACTTTGAACAAAATTTACACAAATATCTTTCAACAGAATTACCCACATTTTTTTGTAAAAATACATTATTTACCCAAATTTTTCCCCGTATCAAAAGTTTTTTTAAGTATTATTATATCAAAAAATTGTAGAACTAAAAAACAGAAAAGCTGCAAAACTTACAGTACTTTGAGTATTAGGTAACTTTAAATTTTTCAATTTATTTCTAAACTCCCCGAAATTTAATCTATTTTAAAAAACAAAGTCAATTCCCTAACATTGTTTGCAATACTTTTATTAAGCCCCATTTACAGTCCCGGGTTTTCCCGGGTTTTAAATTTTACGGGGTAACGTCTTAACGGGGGGACGACTATTTTCCCTAATACCCGGGGCAAAAACCCTTGATAACCCGGGCAAACCGGAATCACCCAGTTTATTAAAAAGTTTTAAAAATCCGGGGTCACCGCACTCACCCAAAAAAGCCCAAAACAGTTCTTCGCTTGGGAGGAATCCGAGGAACCCCTGTATTATCGTACCCTACAGTGAAAAACCTTAGTAAACCGGGATGCTTTTAATCAATGTCAAAAACACGACAGAGCCCCATATGACACAATGTTGCCCCCACGGTAAAACAAGGCAGAGCTCACCGTAGAGCCAGCGTTACATTGCGGTTACTTGGCGACAACGCTCCCGGTTGGACTAGTAATGTCCCGGATATTGCTGGCAAGTCCTAGTTTATACAATGGTTGATAGACGGTGGTGATATATACAATTGAATGTTAATTTGGATTAATTTTGTTATGTGAAGACAAAGAAGGGCCATTCTCTTCTATTTCTTCTTAGGCGAGCTTTCCTTACTGTCCTCCCCCCCCCCCCGAGTCATTTGCAAAGGTACCTCAAACCTCTGTAGGCATGCTAGCACACCAGTTTTCTTTTCCTCTTGGTGTAGTGGCATCTCTGCTGTCTTTTACCAAATGACTGGTCAACGTGGTCAAGCAGTTTTATACTCATTGAACCGGAAAGCATCGGTCCATTACTGGGGCAATTAGGCAATTATATTTTTCAGAAAAACACCACTGAACACCCTAGTTCACCGGCTTAAGACACCGTAGCGATACCATGGCCATTACCGGGACAGTGTAAATGGGACTTAACAGTTACAAGTGGAAAAGGCAGTTAATGATTTATGATAAATTTTTCATTGATCCTCAAGGTAGTTCCAACAAATCTTTATGAAGGTTTTTTTCTACTTATTTTCACATAAATCAGGGATCATGTTTCTAGGCGACTTGGGCAAAATAGTCGCGTATGTCTCTCTCTATGCTTTCGCTCCGTTTGATTAGCCAAAAAGCCAAAACAAAATCGCCTTATTTGGATAAACACAGCAATAATTTCCCAAGAGTCAAAAATTTTCCACGCATCCACCTATTTCAAAACTGACTGTTAAACCTATTTCATTGGTTTGGTAAATTTGAAAAACATGGAAAGCCAATGAAACACTGTGATACAATTGAGCGGGTGTTTGAAGTCAAACAGGTGCATCTTCCAAGTTTGATAATTGCCTATTAAATACAATATAACAACAGTTTTTAACAGATTAGTGCCAATTCATTCAATTGATACCAATAAGGGACATACTTAGCGCAAAAATTTTGTCGGTAAGTCTTACAGTGATCATGTTGTTTATGTGTTGCTTTACAAAAGCGTGTTCGCTATAAACTTTAGTTCAAACGTTTTTCGATGTTAAAAAACAAAACAACAAGCAACAATTTTTTTGTCAAATGGCCAATGAAAATGATATGTAAATGGATTTCTTTTAAACAATCGTAGTGGGTAAAATATCAGATGATTATTCTGTTAACGAATTTCTGTGAGAACAGTTGTAAATTAAAGAAGTTAAATTTTCTATACTTGCTTGCTGATGGATCGTGAGCGCAAATAAACATGTAGCTAAAGCAAAGTATTATTAACTTGCTGTGGTTGCCAGTTTGGTATTATTAGAGGACAACATTTTTGATCTACTGTTACACACGTTAACTATATTGAAAAAAAAAAAACAAACAAAAAAACAACCAAAAGCAACACATAAACCTTATAAGTTTATATAACTAGGACCTTCCCGCACTGTCTAGTAGTATATTTTTTGGGGAAAATATTGAGTTAAGAATTATACTATGATCTTTACTAAAATAAACTGTCTTCATTTTTTTAATTCAGCACAACCTTCATCTGAGTGCAAGCTACAACAAAACCTATGATGAAGATGTAGAGATAAAAAAAACAAGAGGGCCATGATGGACCAGATCGCTCCCTGACCCATCACAATCCAAATGTCTTAGACCAATTCACCCTGGCCAACGTTTGATGCACAACTGAGTCAAAAATTGACCTCTAGTGTGTTAAAAAGGTTTTCCCTAGTATAATGTCCATTTAGAGAGAAAACATACATTGATTTTCATCACTGACATATGAATGATATATTAGCAAATTATAATAATTTATGCGTGTTTCTATTTTGTGAAAGACCCTGATATGAATGCAGCAGAATGATAAAAAACATGAAAAAGCAAGCTAATTGAATTAAGTTACCTCAAACTAAGGCTCCCACGTTTATACAAATTTTTTGTAAACGTTTACACGACTGCAGAAGAACTCAGAAAACGATACCGTTTAAAACGGTGTTACCTCTATTTACTATACACCCATGTAGTTTGAGTCGCCAAATGATGTTTTCTTTTCTATTTCTTTTTACATGTACAAATAAAAAATGTGCAAGGGGCTCATCACGATTGAGTCCAGCACACATTTTTTGCATTGGTAACCCATTTTTTACCAAAAATGTATTATGTCACGAGCAATTTTTGCACGGTAATGCTGTGTGGAGAAGGGTTTAATCACCCATTTTCCGTTTGTTTACTTTGGGAATAAACCACTAGAATTGATAAAATCCATGATTACAGGGCAATCCGTTTAAACGTGTAATCGGGGGTTCCCCCT